ACCCATAAATTTTAGGAGATAACCTATAGATAAAATTGGGCTAGTAGTCTGAGGTATTAATCATGACAGTTACATTAGACAATGTAAAGCACACCTGCAGATGTAGGCTCAGTGGAATAAGGCACAACAAAGTCTGAAGATTGGCAAATCAATGTAATGTAACTAGATATTTTTATATTTTCTGTTATTATTTTTTTTTATTTTCAAAGAACACTTGAGGCTTTTTTTACGTAGTTGGAATAGAAGGATATAAATTTATAAAAAAAATGACATTTTAAACCCATCTCAATCAATCAATTTGAGCAAGAGGGGAAACTGTTTACTTTGTCTGACATTTAACCTTCAGTAAATTTAATTAAAACTCAGGTAAGATAAAACTGGTGTTATTTTTCACCATAGATAAAATAGATTATCAGTAAAACACTTATAGATATTAATACAAGAGGGTTATTTCAGTACTACATTATACTTCACCACATATTTCTTTAACTCGGGGTGTACTTAAATATATAAGGCAAAGTTTTAAAATATTAGTTAAACATTTACCATTTTTTTATATTTTAAAAAAATCCAAATGATAAAACAAAATCTATAATTGACATGTGTTCTGATATCTTGACACATAGATGTGTGACACAAATCGCTGATATCCGAGGGAAACCATGGCCAAGTGGTTAAAGAGTCTGCCTCTCAAACTTAGGGACTTTGGGTTTGAGCACTACTGGTCTGAAACCTGTCTTCGAAGTTATAAAACTTTTATCTGAGTTCTGTCTCGAATCTCAGAATTTTCATTGGTCAAAATTTATTCTATGCTGGTTTCAGACCAATCAAATACCTAAGATCTGAGTTTGTGTTCATTAAATATATTTTAACCTCGGTCCTTAATGTTTCATACATGTTCCTCATACGGTTCCAGGCCTTGAGTTTTGTCTCAAATCTCAGGATTTTCATTGGTCAATGTACATTCTGAACTGGTTACTGACCAATCAAATACTTGACATCAGAGTTTGACCTTAGAAAAACTCTTCATAACCTTGGACCCAGATAGTGGACAACTGAGAGTGATTATACATTAGCTTCACCCTTTTATCACAATCAAGCTATAATAAGTCAATTAAAGTTTGACTTAAAGTAAAACACTATATTCTTAAAGTACATTTTTGCTATTTAGTTTTAGAAAAAGTTCAAAGCATTCAATATAACAAGTACAGATCACACAAACCTTTCCTTCTTTTGGAGTTGATAATACATTGGTAGGTGTAGGTACACCTAATAACCTCCTGTGTCCCTTGTCAAGGAGCTCCATTACTCTCATATTGGTCGCACCCACATCAAGGGCTAGCTTCAGATTTAAGCCCAAGTCAAATTTGTCTGCTTGACTGGCACTTTCCAAGAAGTCGAGTGCCTAGAAATTGAAAATTTGATTGTTTAATATTGCAGCTACTTAAAATTACTAAATTTAAGATTAACATTCTATGTACAGTATAATTTTAAATAAGAGCTAAATTCGTGTAATGGACTGACAAGTTTTGGCTCTGGAACAATCTATTTAACTGTTTAGAGATTGCAGTATAAAAATTAAACAATAGTTGTTGGTGCTCAACTATTTCAATACTAGCCACAGTAAATATAGTCAAAAGAGGAGATAATTAACTCTTCAAATATAGATGCTTCCATCATGAACTATCATACATGGTGTAGGTGATGAACTGAAGATAATTCAGGAATATATTATTTTGAAGTTAAAGTAAAAAAATAAACAAGAGGGCCATGATGGCCTGAGGGGCCCTGAGGTCGCTCACCTGTATATAGGCCCCCCAACCCCCCCCCCCAACGTTGCAGAGCCAATTTAACCCAAGGGCTTTTATTTGCACAAACTTGGTAGACACCCATAAGAAGATGTTTCATGCTAAACATTTAAGCTCTAGCTCATTGGGCTTTTAAAAGAAGATTTTTTTTTAAGTTTTTACTATACACATATAGTTAAAAACAATGACACCCCTGGGCCGGGCCAGTTTTGACCCCAGGGCTTTTATTTGAACAAACTTTGTAGACACTTACTAGAAGATGTTTCATGCTTAATATCTAAACTCTAGCTATTTGGGTTTTTTTCAAAAAAGATTTAAAGTTTTTTGCTAAACACATATAAAGAAAATCAATGACCCCGGGGCGGGGGCAATTTTGACCCCTGGGCTTGTATTTGAACAAACTTGGTAGACACCTATTAGAATTAATTGATGCTCAATATCTTAGCCATAGCTCTTTGAGTTCTTTAAAAGAAGATTTTTTTTAAGTTTTTTACTATATGCATATAGGGAAAATCAATGACCCCCCGGGGCGGGGCCAATTTTCACCCCAGGGCTTTTATTTGAACAAACTTGGTAGACACCCATTAGAACATGTTTCATGCTAAATATCTTAGCTCTAGCTCTTTGGGTTCTTTAAAAGAAGATTTTTTAAGTTTTTACTATATATGCATATAGGGAAAATCAATGACCCCCCGGGGCGGGGCCAATTTTGACCCCAGGGCTTTTATTTGAACAAACTTGGTAGACACAAACTAGAAGATTGTTTTCATGCCAAATATCTAAGCTCTAGCTCTTTGAGTTCTTTAAAAGAAGATTTTTTAAGTTTTTACTATATGCAAATAGGGAAAATCAATGACCCCCGGGGCGGGGCCAATTTTCACCCCAGGGCTTTTATTTGAACAAACTTGGTAGACACCCATTAGAACATGTTTCATGCTAAATATCTTAGCTCTAGCTCTTTGGGTTATTTAAAAGAAGATTTTTTAAGTTTTTACTATATGCATATAGGGAAAATCAATGACCCCCCGGGGCGGGGCCAATTTTGACCCCAGGGCTTTTATTTGAACAAACTTGGTAGACACTCACTAGAAGATGTTTCATGCCAAATATCTAAGCTCTAGCTCTTTGAGTTCTTTAAAAGAAGTTTTTTAAGTTTTTTACTATATGCATATAGGGAAAAATCAATGACCCCCGGGGCGGGGCCAATTTCACCCCAGGGCTTTTATTTTGAACAAACTGGTAGACACCATTAGAACATGTTTCATGCTAAATATCTTAGCTCTAACTCTTTGGGTTCTTTAAAAGAAGATTTTTTAAGTTTTTACTATATGCATATAGGGAAAATCTATGACCCCCGGGGCGGGGCCAATTTTGACCCCAGGGCTTTTATTTGAACAAACTTGGTAGACACTCACTAGAAGATGTTTCATGCCAAATATCTAAGCTCTAGCTCTTATGGTTTTTTAAAAGAAGATATTTAAAGTTTTTTATTTCGGTTGCCATGACAACCAGAGTTTTGCATGGAATTAAATTCTTTGAACAATTTTTAAAGGTGACCACCAAAGGAACATTCCTGTGAAGTTTGGATGAAATTGGCTGAGTGGTTTATGAGGAGATGTCATTTAAAGTAAAAGTTTACGGACGGACGGACGGACGACGGACGCCGGACGGACGGACGCCGGACGAAAAGCGATCACAAAAGCTCACCCTGTCACTTAATTTGTGACAGGTGAGCTAAAAAACTAAAAATGTGTCCATTGGACAAGGATGCCCCCACATTCCACTGTTTTGGTCAGTCAACTAACATACAGCAGGATAGTATGACAGACGGACAGACAAGGGAAATTCTACATAACCCAACCTACCCCTAAGTGGTTGAGGCATTGAAAACGACATCCGATTTTTCCAATGTTGACAGCTCGATTTTTCCTTATATTGAGCAGCAAGAATTTCAAATCTTAATTTAATATCCTAAAGTATGCTTTGAAGAAAAAAACCCAGGTGCACAACCAACTACACATGATGACCAACTTTCCTGTAAACTTTCATGACTACAGGCCAACTACTTTTTCAGCTACGGCGACACAAGTTGAAACTTGCAAGTTTTTACTAAGTCAAAAGCATTAATTCCTACAAAACTGAATTAATCGACATGTAATGTGCACAACTTCACATTCTTGTACCTCAAATACTTTTAGAGCTACATGTGACTCAACATGAAATGGACGCACGGACGGACACGGGCAAATCTAAATGCACCCTCCCCTACTGAAGTTTGAAGTTTCAAAATAAATCACTCAGAAAGTAAAGAAGCTGGAACAGGTTATATAATGTCCGAGAAAGAAGTCAGATAAAACAAAACAATTTCAAATGGACATTCTAAGTGTTCAGGAAAATAAACTGCTTTAGTAATGAACCATGTAAATATGTGTTTAAAATGATAAGAAATATATAAATATTTTACAGCATAACGAACTTCAACGACATAAATGCCATAACCTTCGTAAAGTCGAGCTAAATATTAAGCTATCATTACAGTATATAGCCTGGTCAGGCAGCAAGCTTGGCATGCCCTATACTGGCTGTCTGGTGACTTATCACTTTCAAATGCAGAAACATTTATCCTGGAAAAGACTACATAACTTTTATATATGTATGAGGCAAATCTTGTCCGATTCAGTCGTTATCAGGGAGGGTACGTCATTCTAATCATAAGGGATTACAAGTTCGATTGTATAACAACTTATTATGCGTGCAAAATAAGATTCATGCACACTATTCGTATGACATTTTAACGTCAATCTAAGGGTTACATTTGTATTTAAAAGTTTGCGGATCCTTGTATGTCATACTCACACTAGTCATCTGTACATGAAACCCTAGCCCTTCCCCAAGGAAATAAAGAAGAAAACAAATGAAATTAGCATATTATTTTATCTTTCCCCTCCGTCAACATAACCACAGGAACATGTTAATTTTATTTCCGCGCCAAAAATTCAGCCGCTCTTAGCCCGCTTTACAAGTGTTCTAACACAATTTGCCTCGTCAGTGCTTTTGGATCTAGTGGATTTTGCTTAGCTAGATCGAATATAGAAGTGTTCTAGTCCTCGTGTGCCATTTACCCTTACAAGTCTCAGATTGTTTAAACAATTTTAAGGATTATCATTTTAATAGTACCTACCCTGTATATAAATTTTGACACCCATGGATCTGACTCACCCAGGGCATCCGCATGGCAAGCATATGCCGACAGCCCCTTTATACCGTACAGTGTCATATACCGTACACCGTTAATATCCGGGCCATAGATCTGTTGATCTTCCAACACACCCACTTTATGCCCTGAAAGAAATAAACACACCCACTTTATGCCCTGAAATAAATAAACACACCCACTTTATGCCCTGAAATAAATAAACACAGTCCTGACCGTTTGAAATATCGGACCAATAATGGATTGAATTTTTCATGACAAATAATTCACATGTTATTTAAACACTTACAGTTTAATTTTTGCTACCGAAAAATCAAGTTTTTTTAATTGGTTTAAAAAAAAGAACGAATTAATGTTAACTAGAAATGTGTCCATAGGACACAGGTGCCCCCACCGCGCAACTGTTCTGTCAATCTTTTTACTAAGTCAAGGGAAATAACTCTACAAATACTGGATAAATCCACAAGCGAAACCCCAGGTGCAAATCTAAAATATGCTGAGCAACCTGCCCATAAGGTTTAATGACTATGTCAAATCCTTTTTGAGAAACTTGCGACTTAAGTTGAAAATTGCAAAACTTTTCTAAGTGAAGGGCAATAACTCTAAAAATACTATATAAATACAGACGAAAATACCTGGTACACAACTGCACATGCAGATCAATATTCCTGTAAAGTTACATGACTCTAGGTCAAATACTTTGTGAGTTACATGTGACACATGTTGAAAATTGCAAAATTTTACTAAGTCAAGGGCAATAACTCTGAAAATACTAAAAATATCCAGACGAAAATACCCAGGTGCACAACTACACATGCTGATCAACATTCCTGTAAAGTTTCATGACTCAAGGTCAAATACTTTTTGAGTTACGTGCGACACATGTTGAAAATTGCAAAATTTTACTAACTCAAGGGCAATAACTCTGAAAATACTAAAAAAATATCCAAATGAAAATACCCAGGTGCACAACTTTACATGCTGATCAACATTCCTGTAAAGTTTCATGACCCTAGGTCAAATACTTTTTGAGTTACGTGCGACACAAGTTGAAAATTGCAAAATTTTACTAACTCAAGGGCAATAGTTCTAAAAATACTAAGAATATCCAGACGAAAATACCCAGGTGCACAACTACACATGCTGATCAACATTCCTGTAAAGTTTCATGACTCTAGGTCAAATACTTTTTGAGTTACATGCGACACAAGTTGAAAATTGCAAAATTTAAGTAAGTCAAGGGCAATAACTCTGAAAATACTAAAAACATCCAGACGAAAATACCCAGGTGCACAACTTCATATGCTGATCAACATTCCTGTAAAGTTTCATGACTCTAGGTCAAATACTTTTTGAGTTACGTGCGACACAAGTTGAAAATTGCAAAATTTTACTAAGTCAAGGGCAATAACTCTGAAAACGCTAAAAATATCCAGACAAAAATACCCAGGTGCACAACTACAAATGCTGATCAACATTCCTGTAAAGTTTCATGACTCTAGGTCAAATACTTTTTGAGTTACGTGCGACACAAGTTGAAAATTGCAAAATTTCACTAAGTCAAGGGCAATAACTCTGAAAATACTAAAAATATCCAGACGAAAATACCCAGGTGCACAACTACACATGCTGATCAACATTCCTGTAAAGTTTCATGACTCTTGGTCAAATACTTTTTGAGTTACGATCGACACAAAAGTGAACGGACGGACGGACGGACGGAAGGACGGACGGAAGGACGGACGGACAAGGGTAAATCTAAATGCCCGCCACTAATGTGGGGGCACAATAAAAGTTTAATTTATTATATCGTTTCATAGAGCAATGAAAGGACATTTCAATATCATCTAAAGTTCAAATGAGTATTAAGAGATTGAGCATGACAAGTTCTTGAAACAGTCTTGATTCTGGACAAAGTTTATAAATAATTATTCTAGTTACATCTCAGTTAGCATTAAAACAAAACTATCAACATACCGACTCTCTAGCTGTAAATACATTTTAGCTAACATATTTGTTTCTTTAGCTAAATATTGGGTTACTTCATTTACAAAATCGAAAACTGCCTTAAAATCCGACAAGAAACCAACATGTATACATGTAGGTACTATACATTTACACGATACCATCTATACATTTACATACAAGTATCAATCACAATAAATGTCTGTAAACTTATCAGTTCAACAGAAGAGAACTAGCTTTAGACAGAAAATGATTCTGATTTACACAATGTCAGTTAGAAATTTGGCAAGAATTCTCGTGGCGACCTGCTGCGTTTCTACGGTTATACAGTTACGGTTTTAACTTACTAGTACCAGTAATCTAAGAAAAAGCAGTTGGCACTTTTGATAACAGAAATGCATATTACTTAAAATATATCTGTAAATAAGAATCATAACACAAACATCGCTTCATAGGTAGCAAAAACAAGAGAAAAACTATTTTTAAAGGAAATTGAATCTAGTTGGATCGTGGTCCTAAACTTAAATTAGACCCCTTGCGCATGTGTTAAGTGAAACCTTAATTTTGTAAGTGAAATATGTCCTACGTAATTATTCAGCTTAAAAATAATCAGACAAACTAACTTAAAATAAACCTCCACACCAAATCTAAGTACTGTATGTCAAAACGTTTTCTAGTAATTTGCCTTGACCGACTGCCAACAAAATAAGTAGGAGTCGTCTACTAATCTTGAGAAACTTCTACTACACTCTAAATCGCAGGACTGTCAGCCCACGTGTCTCTAGTAATTGAATTTGGTTGCATACACTTTTTGAGTTCAAGGCTACAGTGAGCTTGAACTTTAACTGACTGACCTAAAAATCAATAGGGGTCATCTACAAGTCATTGCCAATCTTCACATCAAATTTAAGGATTCTATGCCAAAGCGTTCTCTAGCAATTGGTCGGACAAACCTTTTATGATAAGAGCCACAGACCGATCCCAAAGTCAATAGGGGTTACCTACTATCCATGATCAAACTTCACACCAAATCTCCATACCAACACTGCTGGCCACTGCATTCTCTTCATATTTGACCATCATCGCTTTTTTTCACGACAAAGGAAATGGTGACTTAGACCGACTGACAACATACCTGCTATTCATGACTTAACTTCATACCAATATTTGGACTGTAGGCTACAGCGTTTGGTCGGACAAGTTTTTCAGAGTAACTGACATAAAAATCAAAAGATATATCTACTAGTCATGATCAACCTTAGAAATGAAGGCGAAAGCGTTCTCTAGTTTTCTGGTCCCGCAAGGCGCAGTCTACGGACCAACGGACCGACAGAAGCTGTGCAAATCAATTAACCTTCCCTTTGTCGGAGGAGACACAACAACATGATGCAAGTAACACACCTGTGTAGGCATATTACAGTCAGCGCCAGATAGCATAAACTCCACTGCAAACACAAACACAAAAACTTTACCTTCACTAGCGAGATAATCTAGATCTTCGTATCCCTTTTCTGATTTCCATACAGCGGGTCCTTGTGTTAAGGCCTCGCACACTGGTTTCCCGCTTTTAGCATAAGCGGCAAGAAGGGGAACTCTAAATTCTTCCCGGTATTCTACAGCCTGTCTTATGTATTCCGGGAATCTGTCCTGGTCAAAGTTCACGTTCGTTAACGTGCTGAAATGACAATTAAATAATATACTAGTATATAAATTGTACAAGTAAACATATTCTTATATAAATGTAATAAGTCACAAGAAAGCTGTCACGAAAATTATTTTTTTTTCAAAAGTTCCTGTCACATGACTCTATAAAATTTTATAAAGTATCCACTGGACTGAAAAAAAAGAGAAAAAAAGAACTCAGTACCTCTCAATGTACATTTAATTTCTCTACTAAAACAATGTGCGAAAACATGCAAGAGCAATTGCTCTTGCCAGTACATGTACTTTATATCTTACCTAAACATTGCCTTTTTTACAAAATCATCACATTCTTCATTAGCATATACACCCATATTGATCGCCCTGTTAGCATGTACGGCCAGTCCTTTGATTACGTACATGAGTAAATCCTGGAGGGCGGCGACCTGTGGTGATTTACCACATACCCCCACCGTAACACACCCACGTCTTGATTTGGTCTGCTCACACTGGTAGCAAAACATATCTGTAACATAATAACAATTTCTGGACATCAAATAATGTAAATAATAATTAACATGCTAGTAAAATTCTTACTTAAAAAACAACATATTTATGAAAGGGTTTTAAGATGAATTAAATAATATAGATGAATTAAATAATATATCATTATTGAAATCACTGGCATCAATAATGAGGGTTGACATTCCATGGTTGACGTAATCATGGGTCCACTCTGTTACAGTGGCGACTAACTGCGCAAAAGCATCTTTTTTCCATGGACCTAAATTTTTATAAACATATAATTTACCACTAAAAACATTGACTATTGTTTGGTTGATTAATTTGCATACAGACCAATCCATTTCGAGGGTCGCTATTTACTACACCAGAACTGAACCGTTTTTGTTTGTCGTAAATGTATAACTGTATACCAACATCTTTATACACGCCAAATAATTTTAAATATTTAAACAATAACCAAACCGTCAATGTACGTTCCACGCACACAGGTCTCAAAATCGATGTCAGTTAATACTAATTCAAGCCGGTGACTATTGAACGGTTAAAAGTGAATTGACCAAGCACACTGTTGTTAAGGACATTGTGCGATTGATAAACGCTTTTAAAACTGGTATATTAGAATGATAAATAATCACGAAAATTTTGCAAAATTTGAAAAAGACAACTGATCAGTTCCTTCAAATTAATTTGCTTAGGTCAGTGCTTTTTTCGCGTATTTAACAGTATTATACAGGCTGTTTACCAAAGCATAAATGCTGTTTCCCCCCTTAGCCAAAATGTTATATTTTACCCTAAATGGATTCATGTTTTCAATTTGAACAGAAGAAAGTTTTGTATCAGTAGTAAAAAAAGGTTAATTTTCATAATAAACATCTCTAAAAGAGAAAAATTGAAATTTGAAATAGTAAATTTGATAACAAGTATGGCTATGTCACATTTCTAGTTGTTGGGTATTTGATTTCAGCTTTTCCCCTTTCTTGATTTATTGCATCGCCCCTGTAGCAAGTTTGGAAAAATCAAATAAAAAAAAAAGGCTGGAAATGCATTGTTACACGCTTTTTATGAAGAAAAACTGTAACACTAATACTATAGAGAATATCATAGAATTGTACAGTGTATTCCAAACAGGCAATTTATCACAATGGCAATTTATCACAATTGCGACACAACATGTATAACGATTGATTAACCAAAATAATTTTCTGCTGTTACCTGCATTTACCTGATAAGATAACTTAACAGATTAATGCAGATTTTTTTTTGTATATAGATATCGATAAAATGCACGTGTTGAAATGCGGAAGTATGTGTTTGATAAAAGAAAATCAAATCGCTGTATGAAACGAAAATAACTGATAAGCAATCATCACCTTTTTATATCTAACTTTATTAAAACTTTAATCGGTCTAATATTTGTGGCGAGCTCAGTCACCTTGTGTATCCTGAAGCGCACGATGTGTCGAGTCTAACAAGAAACAAACCCCTACATTTTAAAGTATATAATGATTTACATAATCGGTATTTTTATCAAATTAAACTTACAACTATAAACGGTTTGATTCATCTTATTTGAGTAGTTGTATGAGAAAAGCTTGTATGAGAAAAGCTTGTCGGAGAAAACGTAGCATGCTTCTCTAAATCCCTATCGAGGCGAGACGACACATGACAGGTCAATGTCAAGGTATGGCTAAGCACCTAGGATTAATGATAATTCGAGACGATGGCCCTTTCAAAAAGCCGTTTTGTGAAGAGAAAACGCCAAGAAAGATGTTTTCGTCTCATTGCACCATTGTACAAATAACAGGATATCCACAGGTTTTTTATTTCACTGTATGATTACAAAAGTAAAAAAAAATCACTATATTATAACGTAGCTTATGATTACAAAAAAAATACAACAATTTCAACCTATTAATTTTACCAATGTCAAAGGAAGCTGAAGTTTTCAATAAAGTTCATAGAATTTGTTGTTATAGACTTAAATAGAGGGATGTTATTAAAAAAAAAACAGCTTTAATTCAAAAGTGTCACGATAAGGAAATGATGTGTTGAGGGCCTCATGGAAGATTGATATGTTGTTCAAATGAGTTCTATCGTTAAATAACTAAATTATTATTATTATTATTATTATTATTATTATTATTATTATTATATACCGCAAACAAGAATGGAAATTATACAGAGGATATTAAATGAGTGTATGTTCGATGCTTTATTTATTGAACGAGTTGAATAAAATTTTATTACACGAGCCCCGATCTCGCCTCTTGCGAACATATTATTTGATTCAAAGATTTCAATAAAATCACTAATAAACCTTCACGAATATACTGGTTGGGGAGATAACTTCGGCTGGTTGATAAACTCGGCTTTTTAAAATTAAATCGAGTTATTGGAATTTTTAATCTAATCAAGCTCACCATCTCATACTATCGCTGGAATTCGACAATATCTGGAGATTTTGTCAAGTTTGGTAAGATATTTAAAAAATTACACAGACCTTTACCTGTTTGTTTACAAAACATGCCTATAAAAAGTACGGGAATCCCATTGTTGTGCGCATGTGCAGCAGATGCTCATTTTGAGGCCCGCACAGGGGTACTTTTTATATATTAACCGACTACCGGTAAAGCAGACGACGTTTACATATACATTTTGTAGATGAAATTCAGACTCACTCTTGTCTTGCTAACTCAGAAAAAAGGCTGATTACACAATTGTAATCTTTAAGTGGAATGGATTGAAAGACTGATGTTTAATGCTCCTTTTATATGTTATTGTGTAGGTTGAATACCACTAAATTAATTTCTTCTGTACTCTGTTAAGCTTAGCAAAAAACTAATTCTTTGACTACATATTTCGTTATACGTTAATAAATGATAATGCATGTGTTTTTACGTAAAAATGATTTATATGTTACATAGTACGTTGCATATAAATATCGTGTTATCATAGATATTCATTAATTTATACTAATGTAATGCTAAACAATTTTGGTAACAAATATTTTTTATTTGACATAAATGAACAGCAAAGAAATAATAAAATGTCTAAAAATGTTATTTTACGTTTTAACTTACTCATTTAAGAAGAAAAACAAAGAGCCGGAATTAACTACTCGCGCGCGTTAAAAATATCCTTTTTACATATCTCTTCCAGGGCCTCTTAAAATGACCCGTTATGTTTCTAAATATAACTTTTATGGTGATACCGGAAAATAGAAGAGCTGAAGTTTATTATGGTGCAAGATTCATCAGAATACGTAAACAAATAAATGAAATATGCCCCCAAAACACTGATTTTCGGCCGAGTTTATCTCCCAAACCAGTAATACTCTGGGACCGAATAATTATTAATTGATTTAACTATGTCCCAGATTTATCACATACCCAAAATAAAGACAACTTAATGTGCAAAAGAACCACTTTTTCATTGACACGCCTACTGTATATTGTAACTCTAACATTATTTTAGCGCGTCTTTAGAACGCAAATGACGTCACGACGTCACGTCAAAATATATGCACGGCCGCCGTGCAATAGGCGTACTGTACCATTTTACCGAGTCGCAAAATCGGCACGGGTATGCGATAAATGTGCTCACAGTGGTGTATTGCATTGTATGTATGTATAAACTATCTCATTGCTCTGTATTAAATTGATTTGTTGTCGTTATTGTTGTTTCTTTCTTTATTGCACATTATGTGACTAACAAATTGTATTTCAACATGTTAGTTATAACGATGTACCTATCATGACTGTGTGCACAAGCTATGAAAATAAACTATGTTTAGTTCTGTTAAAATAATCAGTTATAATTTGCTTGGTTTTCTGCCAAGTTTAACACATACATGTAGTTTGGTACTATCTCGGCGATAAATGTACCAAACCCGTTTTCCTGGATAACTAACCAGTCATAAACAATTGTTCCGCAAGTGACCAACTAACGTTATACTTATTCCACATGATTTCTGATTAAGCGGGGAGAGACAAATGGACATGAAAATGATAAAATGTCCGAGATCTATTGTATTGGAGAAATTTTGACTGGTCGGAGGATCGAACCAGCTACCCCTGGATTATTGCTCTCCCTATTGAGGTAAGAGGGCGTACAAATAATTAGTTTTATAAAAGAATGCCGTGGTTTATGTGATAAAATGGTTGAATTTATTGTTGTAAAACATTTTATATTTATGCTGTCTGAAAATATCGTGTTTATAAACTCAATTGTGTGACAAGTGAAATTTACGTTCACAGCGGTAATTTCATGTCAGTATAATGGATGGGTAATAGAACGCAGGTGAAGAGAATACAGCCAGTTTCAATATCTTTACAAATGTCGCTTACTAAATTTCTCTTAAAATCTTATATAATAGACATTTAGGCCTATTATAATGTGGTTATATCTATAATATTTTATGCATTATAGGCATACGTGCAGGAAAACATGCAGGAAAACTTCCCGGTTAACTTATCTTATTATATCATTTACATTTTTGAAAGTCAACCAAACGCACACATGTACATATGTAAATTAACTTGAAAACCTCAAATTTCTTTACAAGTTAACTCCATTCAAGATAACATTAAGACATTCTATTCATATAACTTATAATTAATAACATGATAAAGCACTGAAGTATTACATAATTAACATCAGCAGCAGCATTATTTATATTAAAAAAAACAACAACTTGCATTTCAATATTATGTTTCAATGTTTTTTTTATTATTTTATTTAATTCTTATAATGACATAAACAATGTTACTTCCAATAAATTATCATTATCAATTCATTATTATTACTGCCAATAAAGTATCATTATCAATTCATTATTATTACTTTTATTATCATTATTTGGAAGTCTAACGGAGCAATGAACGCGAAATTTATCAAATACCCAAAACGGTATCGACGACCGTGCATATATTTTGACGTGACGTCATTTTTGTTATAAAGACGTACCAAATTTGTAAATTGTCTGTTGTTACATTATATTTATTGACTAAATAAAGGAATATTGTATTGTATTGTATTGCCAGCATAAACTTATTTATAAGCACATCAATGAAAAAGTTTTGTTATGTGACATAAAACTAAACGCATTTTTATTAAACATAGAAACTTATTTCAAATTTGATTCTACACTTTCAACATTATTAAGCATACTTTAAAGGCGGGCCTGATTCTAGTGAAAATATATTGACGTGCCAAAGCTAGATTCTGGGATACTTTTTGCTGCTCTAGTTGAATTGTAGGCCTAATAAGCCTGCTTCACTGCACTATATGAGTAGACGCACAGAGCTAGATTCTGAGATATTTTTGTTCTGTGTCAGAATCTCACTTGGACTCTATATTGCCAATAGCTTATATGAAATCAGACAATATATCGTCGCAATAGATCTACACAATTTACATCGACTAACTTACCCGGTTTTTTAAGGGTGTCAGCGGTAGTGGCTGCTGCCGATGCCTGTCTTGTCTGGAAAGCGTAACATGTTCTGACGTAAGCCGTGCCATTTCTATTCACAGTATTCTTTGAAACTTGTAACGACGGAGAAAATGCCCGCTGACATCTAAGTATTCCTTGACGAAGCATAACTTTTTTGAAATGTGACTATCCGAATACACGTAAAGTTAAAAATCAAATAAAGCGATAAGACCTTGATATATCTTAAGTTCACAGTATGATATATATTTGAAATCACACTTTGAATTATCAAAGAAAAAAAACACAATTCAATGTTAAATATAGAACGTCATTTCGGGTCGAAGCATAGATCTAGATAAAAAGTGCATTTCGTTGTTTACATTTTACTGTAATTCGACCTTGACATTTATTCTAGCATATTGATCGAATGCTGGAGCGTAGTCTATACTCAGTAAAGATTCTATCTTTTCACTTTTTGTGGGGCATTGTTGTTTGTTTTTTAAGCACTTGCAAATCTACTCATTAATAACTTAATTAGTCTAAATAATATAAAGCTATGAAGATATAAGTTGTAAACTTATGTTGTTTGTTTGTTTGTTTCATTTTACGCCTTTTTCTAACAGTATTTCAGTCATATAGGTGGTTAGTTATGTTGTACATAATGTATTAATTATAGCAAGCATACTAGCTGTAGCCTTATGTATATAACATGTAGATCTATATCAAATAATACAAAGACTAATTGCACGGAATCTTCCTCTCAAGTATTAAATTCTTCATTAAATCACTTGAAAACTGGTAATAAATAATAAGCTTAGTTTCCATTTCATGGTTGGGTTGTCGAATAAATATAAAATTAAATTAATTTAATTTATTACTTAAGAAATCACGGGGGAGGAAGTGTTACACGAAGGATGGAGTTCTTATGATAATTTGTTTGGAGTTCTTATGATAACTGTAACGGAGTTCCTGGAAAACGTTACGGATTTCTGTGGAAAGTTTTTCTATATACTTGGAGAACTCGCGTAAAAAATGGTTATTGTTAACTTTAAATGGGGAGTTTGAGGTGCAAAATTAAACTTTGATAATTAAGCTTGACCTACATATTGTATTATGTTTCAGAAAGAATCTTTTAGTCCATATTTTGTCGCCTTTTTTTTTAAAAAAAAGGGTAGTTTTGAGAAAAATTACCAAATTACTTGCTAATTCGTACATATTGACCTTTCCATTTGTGATCTTCTTCGTTGCTATACTTAATTACCTAATTATTATGGAGAGTTGCAAATATAAAGCCCAGGCTAATAAATTTATACCCGATTTTTCAAATGTTACGGAGTTCTTGCGATAACTCAAAATATGTCCTGGAGTTCTTATGATAACTTTTGTGACTGCCAGTGTGTTTTTGTGCTTAATCACGGCACGTTTAAGCGTATTTTATTTGTCAATTAGTGTGTAAATCATTATGAAGCATAGTACGCTTATCATTTGCACAAAAATTTGGTTATATAACGTTGGTTTTGGTTCAAGAGATATTTTTCTTACCTCCGTTTCTGGTGTTTTTTTGTGTTTGTTTTGGTCTTTAAGTGTGTGTGTGTGTGTTTTTTGGCGACGCCGGTGAGCGGCGTCGTCTTATATGGAATGCTTTTTATTTTTGCCTATGGAAGGAGCTGTTATTATTAGCAGTTAATTTCATGTTGTGTTAATTAGTTTTATTTTGATTCGTAAAAATCAAGTAAACAAATATGTTGTTATATTTGTATTTAATTACTTTATATAAAAAGCATGTGCATTGTGCCATTATTTTCATGAAATTGCAGGCTCAGATTAACAGCTTGTCCCTTTGTTTTATTGACAATACTAAAACCCGAATTTCGAAAATCGTTGTGGTCTACATTCATTTATATATTTTCAAAAATTTCCTACAAGAAGAAAGTTCACCTGCAAATGAGTATTAGGATAGGTAATGGACTGTTGTAAACGATTATCCTATTGATTTTATCCATATTACGTTTATCTGTTGAACAGAATGGTTGTTTTTACAAAGTGTACCAGTATCCGGATGTTGACAGCTATCCGATTTTCTGCAATTACTGCTGTCACATGGCCATCTACTTTTTTATGAATACTTTACCATTAATTTGCATGGCATAATTAAAATGAGCCTGCAACATTTCTTAATTTTGATGTTTAGGGTGTTCTTTTGGGTTTCATGTTTTCTTTATTTCAAGGGGAAGTAACTCATGTTTACTAAATTATTTGTTCTTTTCTGTCTATCTTAGGTATTACTTACAATTTTTGTTTTATAAAATTTACCAGTTGCAAGGTCATCAAAAGCACAGAGGCCCTGATGAGTGAATATTGATATATATATACTTTTACTGGCTTTATATACCCAATATTTCATATTTATTTAATAGAAACTTGGAATTATTAATGTTATGTGCATACATTTATATCTTAGTATATTGGTATGATGAGATTTATAATATTTCTGAATTTAAAGAGTTGCAGTTATGTCATTATTATTAAAGAGATGAGACTTTCATTTAAAGTTATAAATGATAATACATGTATTGATTGAAAATGTCCTGAAACTTGGATCAAGCAATATAATTGATAAAGCCTCAAAAAATCATGTTCTGAATAGTTATTCTAATTTTTTTCTAACATGTGCAAAGTTTGAAAAGGACAGCTTCTGCCTTATCTATTTGTAATGGAGGGACACCGGTCTCAATCTCCAGGTCTCCTGAGTCAACCCTATAACAGACTTCTCATAGAGTAGATTGATACTTGTCCTTGAATAAATTTGTACACTAAATTTTATAGTGGGTGATTTGTGCCACATGAAAACCAACAAAGTACAAAAAGTAACCAGGCGCCAGATGAAAACATGAAAATACAATCTACCACAAAGTGGTTCGTTGGTTGCATTTTCATGTTTTCGCCCGGTGCCCTTGATGTAAAATACAAATCAGCCTTCATAAAATTTCTTATCATAGATATTGTACATGTATTAGCACAGTTATATTCTCTTTCAAATTGACCTGTTATAAATAATGGCACAACCAATAACTGTCTTAGCCCTTTTTAGTAAAAATAATTATACAATAATAATTATATAAATTGTTATTTTAATTAAGACTATCAGAGTATGTAAGGTTTTTTTTCTTATTTATTAATTAAGAATTAATTATCTGTTAATTTAAAAATCTAAATATCTGTCACGGTTTAGAACTGTTCACTATTTAGGGGAGAAAATGTGTAAGCGGCCAGATAGCTCAATCGCTACAGCCGCGGTACATTATTCTGTGGGTCACAGGTTTGAGTTCTGGTCAAGCTGAAAGTTTTTCTCATCCTGTTACTGCAAATAACCATGAGTTTAATTCACTATGCTCTGTAAACATCAGAAATTCAAGTACATGAATCAATATAGTGGGGAAAAAGGTTTAGGTTTAGAACTGTTTCATTATTAAAGAGAAAATGTGTAGCCGGCCGGATAGCTCAGTTGGTCTTCTGAAAGTCATGGGTTCGAGTCATGGTCAGGCAGTTTCAGTCAGGGTTTAGAAGTGGTTTTTCAACTGACACATGTTTGATTCATTTAATAGATTGCATTTAATTTGAAATGGACAAAGGCAGTATTGCGTGATACTTTTAAATCTACAAAAAGCATTTGGTACAGTTGATCACACTAAACTGCACATGAAGAAGTTCTTTTTTCTTCTTCTTCATCTCTTCAAGCATCTGCCATATGTAATGACATTCTTGCATGGTTCAAGTCTTATCTCTGATAGCAGCTGGTGAATGTGGCTGGTACTCCTTCTCTCAGAATACCTATGGTGTCCCCCTGATGTTCATTTTAGGTCCTCTTTTATGTATGACATGTCTGCAACCCTAAGCAATAAGCTTTTATTATATGCACAGGCACAAGTATCAGACCTGGGAAGAAAAAATATTACCAGATTGATAAAAAAACCTGTGTTCATCTTAAAAGTGTCACAAACCAAAAAAAATGTAAATGATGACCCCCTTTAAAAATATACTTTAAGTTAATAGTATATTTTTAAAGGGGGTCATTATTTACATTTTTCTTTTGGTTTTTGACACTTTTAAGATTAACACAGATTTTTTATTAATCTGGTAATATTTTTTCTTCCCATGTCCGATACTCGTGCCTGTGATTATATGAAGATGACTAAGGTATCCTTGTATCTGGTAAAGTAAATCTTAAGATTGGTTTATTGATTATAAATTGTCTTTGCATCTTGGCAAGACAGAGTCTATTCTTTTTGGTTTAAGTTTCAACATAAACTGGGCCAAGCCTCCAGGTCACATGAAATGGTACTGCTATAAAGTACACATCTTTTGTCAAGTATTTAGGTGCAAACCTGGATCAAATTCTTTTGGCGTCGCCCTTTGATGCTTTGCATCAATGCTTTTCTTGTATTCTATTGGAATGACTGTAAACATACTTGATGTAGAGCATTTACTTACAGGATGAAAATACGCTTTGAATTTAATACTCAAGCATGATTTCGTCATATATACATTAAATTATTCCTGGCAGTTTTAGAGAACATTTATATAGTAACTATGCTATCGGTATGCATGTAAATGATTTTCAGCAAAAAAAGGGAGGTAGTATGCACTACCTTTATCTAAATTTAATGAGTAGGGTGTCGTTTTTATGTATTCAATGGGTATTTTAATTTCTAAAAGGTATCAGTTTTTGTCATAGAAACGTATAAAGTTCTATGACAATGATATGACGATAGAAATTAAGTCTTCAATAAGATATGTGAGTCACCGTAAGGTTCACGCCGTTTATGCCTTGTTCCTTTCTCTATTAAATCCAATGTAGCATCACGTGACGTACAGCAATCTCCATATTTTGGAAAATTACTGCATACATTTTTCTTATCAAAGTTGGAGTCCTAGTTGTGGAAATTTTGCAACAACTTTAGCTGTAATTGATTACAAAAATATAATGTCGAACTTTTTTCGCTCGAACCCGTAGGGCACGTGCAAATCTGTCGAAGAGATCGGTAGTAATCGGTTGATTTATTTTTTATGCATAAAAAGATCATACATTTCGGGTGCATGGGTGTGAAGGGTATCCTGGTTATATACGATACATGGTATATAATGATACAATTTACTTAGAAGCTTCTTGAGGGAAGCCCAACTAGTTATTGTCTGCATTAGAAAAGCGGTTGCTTAAAACATGTAACTGAGAAAAAAAATGTAAGTTTTAAACAATTTTTCCTTGGCGGTTTAAGCCATATGTTACTGCTGAATACAGGTGACCGCTGATTCAGCTTTTCCTGAAGATTTTTGTTTGTCTGTTTGCTTCATTTTACGCCTTTTCCAAACAGTATTTCAGTCATATGGGCGGGTAGTT